GATCAACGAAGTACACTGCTGAGAGGAGCAGCGGAGCAGTGGGCGGATCAGGAGAGGTCTGCCACGCCATGTGGTCACCTCCGGGGCAGGCGTATATCGAACTCATGCGGAGGTGGCTTTAGCTTCTCAGTGCTGTGCTTTAACCTGCTGCGCCACCAGGGAGGGTCTATTCTTAGTATTTTTTTACTGAATAGGTATCTTACTGTACCAAAATTTGCTTATCCATTCACTTCTAGAACATCCTGGTTGCTTCCAAATTTTGGCAAATACAAACAAAAAGATGCCAAAAACATTTGTAACCTGTTTTTTATGTGGACCTGAGTTTTCAGTTCATTTAGGTAAATAACCAACGAGCACAACAGATGAACTATATGGTTACAGTATATTTTTCTCTGTAAGAAACTGCTAAATGATGGCCAACAAACACATGAAAAAATGTTCAACATCACTTGTAATAAGGGAGATAAAAATCAAAACCACCAGTAAAAATGGCACATCTTAAAACTAGCAACAACAAATGTTGGTAAGGATGTGAAGAAAAAGGAACTCTTCTGCACTGCTGGTGGGAATGCAATCTAATACAACCAGTATGGAAAGCTGTTTGGAGGTTTTTCAAACTGCTAAAAATGGAAGCTTCCATATGAGCCAGCAATCCCACTCCTAAGTATCTTCCCAAAGGACATAAAAACACTGATTCAAAAAGACATCTGACCCCCATGTTTATTGCTGCTTTATTTACAATTGGAATGACATGAAATCAACCCAAATGGCCAAAAGTGGATGACTGGATTAAAAAGATGTGTAACATATATACACAATAGAATATTACTCAGCAATCAAAAAAGATAAACTCATGCCTTTTGCAGCAACATGATGGAGCTGGAAGGGATCATGCTTAGTGAAAAAAGCCAGAAAGAAAAAGAAAAATACCGGATGGTTTCACTCACAGCAACTATATACCAGAGAAATTTTATGGGGGTGGAGAGGGGAATAGGATAAAAAATGGGGTTGGGGGTGTAGTGCACTGGACTATGGTGATGGCACAAGGGTGAATTGGTGATGGGAAGTCCATAGGGATTACAACTGAGATGGGAAAAGGCACAAAATGATGTAAAAATGAACGATTATAAAAATTAAAAAAAAAAAAAAACCCTGCTAAATGCCTTCCAAAATTGTACCAACTTGTCCCACAAGAAACGAGTAAGAGTTCCTGCTGCTCTATATCCTTGCAGGCCCTTGGTATTGACAGTGTTTTGGATCTTGGCTATTTTAATAGGTGCTTAATGGTATCTCTGTTTTCATTTTCAATCCCCAGGGACACCTGATGTTCAGCATCTTTTCATGTGCTTATTTGCATCTGCTAATCTGTTGGTGAAGTCTGCTTCAGGTCTTTTGTCCATTTTCTAACTGGGTTGTTCATTTCCTTATTGCTGAACTTTAGGAGTTCCTTTTATATATAGGCTACCAATCCTTTATCAGGACTGATACATATTTTACAAAGATTTTTCAGTCAGTATGTGGTTTGCCTTTTTATTTTCTGATAGGTTCATATTTCTAACTTCTGAGAATCTATAGTAAAGGAAATAATCCTACACACACAAAAATGATTGACATAGAAACATGTCATTTCAATACTTTAAAAAGGAAAAGATTTATCTATATAAACAGGAACTGGGTTATAGGCCAACGGTGCAGGGGGTGAGAGGATTCACCAGGGACAGAGTGGAGAGCAGAACAGGCAGACCTAGTGAAGTACACTGCCAAGGGGAGCAGCAGACGGTCAGGAGGATCTGCTGTGCCATGGGGGTCACCTCCCCGGTTAGGGATCAAACTCGTGCTGCAGTGGCTGAGGATAGCTTCATAGTGCTCTTTAACCCCTTGTACCACCAGGGGCCCTCAATACTGTTTATCATTAAAAAGACTGAAACCCAAAAAGATTCTCCAACAGTTGATAAACAGACTAAATTACAGTCAAGTATTATATGCACGATATGGTCTAAAAGAAATACCAACATTAAATGCATATTGTACATATTTTGCTCTTTCTGTTTAAAAGTATAATGAAGAATATTTTTTCTTTTACAACTCTGTAAGCTTGATTTTAAATTTCATTTTTTTTTTAAAGATTTTTATTTATTTATTCATATAGAACTGGGGTACAGGCCACAGATGCGAATGGTGAGAGGATTTACCGGTGACAGAGCGGGGAGCAAAACAGGCAGATTGACGAAGTACACTGCTAAGGGGAGCAGCCGGCGGGCCAGGAGAGGTCTGCCACGCCATGTGGATCTCCTCCGGGGCAGGCTGAAATCGAACTCATGCGGAATTGGCTTAAGCTTCTTAGTGCTGTGCTTTAACCAGCTGCGCCACAAGGGAGGGCCCTTAATTTTTTTTTTTTTAAGATTTATTTATTTGTACATACAGAACTGGGGTACAGGCCAGAGGCTCAGGGGCGGTGAGAGGCTTCACCAGAGACAGAATGGGGAGCAGAACAGGCAGATAGACGAAGTACCCTGCTGAGGGGAGCAGCGGGCGGGTAAGGAGAGGTCTGCCTCACCATGTGGTCACCTCCAGGGCAGGCGGGGAATTGAACTCATGCGGGAGTGGCTTTAGCCTCTCAGTGCAGTGCTTTAACCTGTTGCGCCACCAGGGAGGGCCTCAATTTTTTTTTTTGATTGAAGGAGATAACTATAAGTAGATATTACTTTCGTAATTGGTCTTCATCATTTAACTACAGAAAATTTTTTTTAAATAATCTTTAATAATATGTACACTATTTGTTTTTAGGAGAAAGTGAGAGGTTTACAATTTATCTTTTTTTAAAAAAAAAGATTTATTTTATGTATGCATACTGAACTAGGGTACAGGCCAGAGTTGCAGGGGTGTGGAGAGGATTCACCAGAGACAGAGGGGGGAACGGAATAGGTAGATCGACAAAGTACACAGCTGAGGGGCACAGCAGGCAGGCCAGGGGAGGTCTGCTGGGCCATGTGGATCACCCCCAGGGTGGGGATCGAACTCATGCTGAAATAGCTTTAGCTTCTTAGTGCTGTGCTTTAACCCACTGCACCACCAGGGTGGACCCACAGTTTAATTTTTTAAAGTACTATGGCAGAGGTTTTTGTTCATGTTTTTCTTTTTTCTTTTTTTTTTATGTTTATCTATTTGTGTATATCTGTTCTAATTTATTAGCAAATTTAACTACACAGTACAGTATTATTACTTATAATGATCATGCTATACATTAAATTCTCAGATTTTACTCATCTTAGTGTACATTTTTTAATGAATAAACTACCAAAAAGATGGAGATCATGAGAAAAGTTTACATTACACACAGCAAACAGGAAAAAGCCCTCAAACTCATTAGCAATGAGTAAAATTAAAATCACAATAACATAACATACCATTACATCCCCATAATACAAGATAAAATTTAAAAACTGACAACACCAACAAATCTTGCAAGAATATAAACAATGTAAGCACTCATGTACAGCTAGAGAACCTTGAAAACATTCTGACATTACCTACTATGAATCTAATTATCTATTAAAATTGATATACCTAGAGTTCAGTCCTGTATATGTGTACCAAAATGCACATAGGAAAATGTCCACAGCAGAATTGTTCATAACAGCCCATGCTGGAAATAATTTACATATTCATGCAATGAATAAAGACACTATTAGGTCAACTGACAAGCTATAGTTACATATACAATACTGTACATACAATATTATGTACATACAGTACATAATAATACTCTGTACATCTAGTATTATGTATGCACTCAACATGAAAAAGAAGCTACTTAACAAGAAAAATATGACATATGACAAAAATCAAAACAGATAAAACTACTAATATTGTTTAGCAGATAAACTAAAAAGGGAATCAAGGAAACTTATCACAGAACAGAAGAGAATTTATTATAAGGGGCTGGTGAGAAGAATTAGAATCTAGTACAGACAAATTAGAGGCCTATGGGAGCTAGCAATGTCTTATTTCCTTTTTAGAATATGCCATTTACTTTATTATTGACAATGGTCAGGTGATTTTACAACACACTTATGAAAGCACATTAAAAATTACATAACGATTACCAGGGAGCCAGACTGGTGCTCTCTGTTAGCTGTGCTATTAGTGCTTGAGGGATATTTGCAAAGTTCATGATAAGAAAGCATTTTTGTACATTTCTGTTCAACTAGTGTCAAATTTGTCGGTATTTCTTGATCTAAGTATTGGTGACAAAGGTCACTTTATGGTTATTGATTATTCATATTTGTATATAGTTTTTTTTTATGTTAAAATTACTTATTTCACAAAAAAATTGTGAGGGGTTGCCTTTTGACAGAAGGTGTCCTATCACGTATTTTGTTTAACTAGTGCTAAAGGTTGACATATCAAAGCTGTTACAGCAAGAATCCAAGTACTGTTGGGAATTTAAACTAGACAGCTATCAGATTCCTGCTAACCTACAGGCTTTATGGCTCTACTTTCATACCTTGTAACGATGATTTTTATGAACACTATTCTGGAAGCAGTCCATACAGAGCACACATGTTGGATCAATTGCACAGTCCCTGAAAAAGATTAAAAATTAAATTCCAAAATTTAGATAACTCCTGCTAATCTTTAAGGTACCACTATAATACACTGTAAAAGAGTTTTCTGTATGGCACACAAACTGAACATGAAAATATTTCAAAAACTGAATTCCTAATAACTATTACCTTATTTTAGCCATATTTAAATGCATACATTTGGCTGTTTGATTTTGTTTACAAATCACGCTCACTACTTTGTACTTTTTTTCTTTTTTTAAAGATTTATTTATTTATTCATACAGAACTGGGGTACAGGCTGGAGATGCGGAGGGTGAGAGGATTCACCAGAGACAGAGTGGGGAGCAAAGCAGGCAGACCGACGAAGTACACTGCTGAGGGGAGCAGCGGGCGGGTCAGGAGAGGTCTGCCGCGCCATGTGGTCACCCCCGCGGCAGGCGGGGATCGAACTCATGCGGAAAGTGGCTTAAGCTTCTTAGCGCTGTGCTTCTCTGTGCCACCAGACAGGGCCCACTACTTTGTACTTTTATCTGGTTTCAACTGTTAAGTTACAATTCAAAATTAGTTTTAGAAATATGATCAGCTTTATTTTTCATCTTACCCTTTACTATCATCTTATATCCACATACTTAAACACTGTTCACTGGTAAAGGAGGTTTGTGTATAAATAAAATTCATTAGAATGCAAGCAATATACAGACAGGAATTTGCTTTTATTTAATAATTTGATATGTGTCAAGCACGTAGAGTAGTGTCTGGCACATGGTAGGTATTCAACTGAAATTTATTAAATGAGTGAAAAAGTTAACTCTCTCTTAATCTCTTCCCTAATGAAAACTAAGAAGTTCTATTTTTAACATTTTCAAGGAAACATTAAGAAAAATATAAATTAGTACAAAGTACAAAATTAATTTTGAAAACATTTTATATAGAAGTATTGAAGTGACAGAATTGGTTTTTAAGATTAATTTTAAAAGGCTAACAGAAGTAAAGATTGCCTAATAATATTCTCTAAAATATATCTGGTCTACTGAGCTAATTAGAGAAAAATTTCTCAAACTCAGAAGTACTGACATTTTGAACCAGATAACATCTAATGGAAGTAGAAGGTCTGTCCTATGCATTGTAGGGTATTTAACAATAACTCTGGCCTCTACTCTGACACTAGATGCCAGTACCAGTATCACAGTTCTGACAATTTAAAATGTCTTCATGAAACTTTTGAAGAAATGATATACAAAGATATCATTTGATTTCAGCTAAAAATAAACAAGATAATAAGTGATATCATGTAGCAAAATAGAACACAAAATACAAAAGTTGATTTTTTCCTGAGGAAAGCACAGGGTAAAGACACTATTTTCTAAACTGCTAATTATACACAAATCAGTCGAACCTGGTTTGAATTAAACTGAAGCAAAAAACAATTCTCTATATTTATAAAGCCTGAAAATTCACACTCCTAACCTAGGCTGCCTCTAATAAAGGGGGAAAACTAAGAGTGTTGCCAAGATCTAAAAGTTGAAAATTTCAGGCAGAAGTAGGGAGTAAAAAAAGTTCTGTTACCATGATATTTGAATCTCACACAGAGGGCAAAATGTCTAAAGCTATTTCTAGTTTCCTACTACCACTTTCTCTGTCCAACTAAATTCCAACTGCTTGTACCTGTCACAATTTTTTGACACCAAATCTTGCTTTGCAACAAAAATTTTTAAAAAATTTTATCACTCACTGTGTATATTCATAGATTACTCATGGAAATACTAAGTGTGCTTATAGGATCCTGTCCTGACTCTACTTGGAAAGTACTTAGATTTCTGAAAGCTAACTGGCACCAAAAAACCTCAAATGGGAATATGTGGATTACTGTATAAACAAGACATGAATCTATCACTTACATACTTTTGGAGACAGAAAGGAAATTTAAAGAACTATTTAAGTCATATATTCAGAAACAAGTTGTATTAGCAAAAACAGATGTCTAGGTATATAATAAAAAGAAGTTAATTAAGGATTAAATATATAATAAGCAGTAATTAGCCAAGGAAAGTATATCATGAAATAGTTTTTAAAATACCCTGTAATTATAACCAATCCTGTAAATTTCTAATTCTTACCTACAAGAATATGTTGTCTCTCCACTTTTGAAAACTTTCCCACAAAGTTGAAATGCTCCACTGTGCTTCAGTTTCTCTAGGCAAATATCTGGATCTTCTCCAAATAAGTACCATTCCAGTGGGGTGAATATTGACATCTGTATACTCTCTTCCTGCTTTTCCAAGTCTGGGTCCATTTCAGCAAAATAAATTTCTGGCACAAATCGTGCCAAATGGTGCAAGAAAGTGGTATAAAAATCAGCTTGCTGATCCCAGCACTGAAGGAAAACAAAATTTAGACTTTGTTATAACTTCCTTTTGAAAGATCTACCAGGCAAAACAAATGACACAATTCCGTGATTTCAGAGAGAGTGACTTATAATATATTCTTATTTTTATCCTACCCCAATACAAAAGGTAAATGGGTGCTCAAATAGTAGTATTGTAATTAGAGGATTGACATACCATAGATATCTGGAAAAAAAGAAGAGCAACAATAATGGATGAGAATTATTTTTTTCCTTTTAGGCTCTGTAAAGGTGATGTTACTACAGGAGGCTGTATAGAGACAAATCATTCCCCCAAACTCTTAGTTTAATTGTTTTAAATAAAACAATTAATATTTAGACAGTACTTAATGAGAGATCAAAATGAATGAGCGCCAAAGAGTTTTTAGAGAATAAAAACACTAACCATAAAAACAAAACAAAACAGAATTGGACCTCATCATAAAGTAAACTTTATGCTCTTCAAAAGAAAGCATTACAGATGGCTTATTAGTACATGACATGAAGTATTTTCAATGCCAATTGTCATGAAGGAAATGCAAAAACAAAAAAATAAAGTAAGAGTACAGGCTAAAAAAAAAAAAATATATATATATATATATAAAACAAAAACCTGGCCATATTGCCAAGTATCAGCAAGGGTACACGAAACTGGAGAAGTGCTGATAGGAACTCAAAATGGCACAGTCACTTTATCAAAGAGTTTGGCAGTTTCTAGTAAAGATAAACACACTTATATATGACCCAATAATCAAACTTCTATGCACTTAACCAAGAAATGAAAACTTCCATTTTACACAAAAACATTCACATGAATGTTATGTCAACTTTATTTATAATTGTTAAAACTGAAAGTAACAGTTGTCCTTCAACAGCTAAATTATAAACTACTGTACACTCAAACCATGTCCAACAAGACAGCTTTCCATATATATAGAAATACCCAGTTAATGAAGTCATTCAGTATTATTCATTGGCAATTTGGGCTTAAATGTGATCTCTGATTACCCCAAAGTATCCAACCAGTCTGAAAGTTTGTTGCCTTTTTGGGGGGAGGGAGGGATGTCAATTTTTGATCTTTTATTTAATTTTTAAAATTTTCTTCCACAGTTCATTTTTGTACAGTATTTGGTAATCCCCGTAGTTAGTTCTCCTACCACCATAGTACCCTTGACCCATCACCATAGTCCCTTGTGCTCTTCCTTTCCCATTTTGACTCCTCTCCCTCCCATTCTCTTACCGTATGCCTCAGATCTATGATTAGCTTGAAAGTTTTGTCTCTCTCTCTTTTAACCTTTTGGTCAGTGTCAGTACGCTGTATTTCACATTTAAATGAAACCATCTGATATTTATCTTTTTCTTTTTTTTTTTTTAGATTTTGTTTTTTAATTCTACTTATTTGTACATACAAGACCTGGGTTGTAGGCCAGAGGTACCGGGGGTGAGAGGATCCACTAGAGACAGAGTTGGAAGCAGAACAGGCAGCTCCACTGAAATACACTGGTGATGTGAGGAGTGGGTGAGACAGGAGAGCTCTGCCTTGCCATATGAGTTAGCTCCCCAGAAGGGAGCTCAAATTCATGTTGCAGTGGCTGGAGACAGCTTGATAGCGCTGAGACTTTAACCCCTGTATCACCTGGGAGACCCCTTATCTTTTCCTTTCTGACTTACTTTGCTTAGCATAACACCTTCAGCTTCATCCATGTTGCCACAAATGGCATGGGTTTATTTTTTATTTTTATCACTGAGTAGTATTCCATTGTGTATATATACAATTTGATCCTTTGCCTGTTTAGGTAGCCTAACAGTATTAATGTCACTCAACAATAGTACGCTTTAATAAACAGAGGCGAGGGTTAAGAGCACAGCTCTCTACCATCAACCCAACATTGCAACTTATTTGCAGTTAACACCCTTCCAATTAATACTGTTCATTTGAAATGGGTTGATTTTCGATTTTATCAGTGTAAAACAAAATGATGGAACTTGAGGGAATTACATTAAACAAAATAAGCAAGAAGGAGAAATACAAGTGCTGGATGATTTCAGTTAAATGTGGAATACAAAGAAGCAAAGCAAAAGAACAGGGAAAAAAAAAAAAGCAAACTCTTGGATTCTGACTGCAGAACTGAGTACCAAAGGTCTTCACCTTGAAGATGGGGCAAGGAAGGCAGAGCAAAAGGTAGAGGATCTATGAACTGTGGTGGAGGGTCATTTGTACTTTGGAGATGGACACAGTATGGCAATATATATTTGAAAAGAGATGAATCCGTTAATATTCTTACAGTGATTCCATATTTGGGTTTTTTTAATAATGTAATAGTTTATTTTTACATCACTTTGTGCATTTTTTCATCTCTGTTGTAATCCCCGTGGGCTTCCCATCACCAAATCACCCATGTGCCATCACCATAGTCCAGTGCATTTCCCTCCCCCCACAGTTTTTGATTCCATTCCCCACTCCACCTTGGGGGTTATTTTTTAATTATAAAATTAAAAATATTTTCTAAAACCTTTCTTCAAAAAACCTTATCTCCCAATATTCTGACTTCAATTTTTTTTTTTTTAACCTACCACTTTTCTCCATCTCTCTGGCAACAACTTAACTAGCAGACAATATTTAATGCTCTATGGTATACTTAAGTTCTTTCCTTCAGACAGTACTAAATGGGGGGTAGGAGGATGGAAAGCTGTATAATCAATCAATGCTATACATCAAACAAAAAATCTGTCCTGCCTAATTATGGAAGGCATGGAACTAGTTTTTTTCAAGTTTTTCAGGAATACAAAAATATTGATTTGTGGGCCCTCCCTGGTGGTGCAGTGGGTTAAAGCACAGACTACCAAGGTGAATACAGCCCCTTCAGCACAAGTTCAATCCCTGGCCAGGGAGGTGACCCACATGGTGCTGCAGACCTCTCCCTCTCACCCACTGCTCCCCTCAGCCCTTAGCAGTGTGCTTCAGTACATCTGCCTGTTCTGCTCCTCATGCTGTCTCTGGTGAATCCTCTTACCCCCACACACCTGCTCCCCATTTCTGTATGCATAAATAAATAATTTTTTAAAAAAATCTAGATTTAAAAAAGGGAAGTATTGATTTGGACAGAATGTCTATATACTGATTCTATAAGTGTCTCTTCCATTGATTTTATCACTACACTTCTATCTTTTCACCCATGCCCAACCTTAGTTATTCCTCAAGATTTATCTAGCCCACTTCTCTTAATACCTCACTGGTCAACTTAAGATAATTCTCCTCCTATATCTCCACTAGAGCACTTAATGAAAGAAATACTCCATACCTACACCTCTGTCAGTTATTATTAGTTATCTTTAAATGTGTACATCTAGCCTTTCAACCAGGCTGTAACCAATCTGACAGGAGGAACTTTGTTTTACAAACCCCTGTATCCTAAAGGTCTACCATAAGTACATAACAAAGTTTTCAGTCATTGCTAAATATTATGAACTTCTTGACAGAGATGACAAAACAAATGTTGACATTAAGTCTTTTAAAACTTTGGAGCATTCTTATGGCAGATAAAGTATAATTTTAATCTTTCATCAAGATTTTCTCCTGGATGATGGTCACAACTATGAAAAGAATGTTCAACTAAAATTTTCTTTTTTTCTAGATAAGAAAAACTGCATTGGGTAAAATGTTTAGGAGTTATTGGTGACTAGACTAAGTTTACTTTCTTAGTTATCTGTTTCTTTTTATTATTTTCCCCCATTTGAGGAAAGAATAAAATTAATTTTGTTTTTTATGTCTGGGGGGGGAAATCACTTACCCCAACATTTGATGTTAAGGAAAAGCTTTCTTAATCTACTTTTCTGTAAAAACAAGTTCTTATAACATTTAAATTCCCAAACATTCCAAACATTTTCCTCATCCCCATGGAGACTAAAGATATATTCTCAACTTTGACCCAAAGACTTGGAAGCCTGTTTGGGAACATCATTCTGAAAAAGGAACTTATTTTAAGTAGATTCTTTTTGTTCAAACCACAACTTCTGGATGTCTATAGAGTTTTTGATGGCCCTGTAACTCTTTTTCTAGCTCAGTTCTTCCATTTTAAAATGTTAAGAAAATATGGAGGCTCTAGAATTGTTAACAGCCAAGTATTAGATTATTAATTGAGTATCTCCAAGACATATACTCCAATTGAGTATACAAGACATCTTTCAGTTACACAAACTTTTCTTGTAATACTATTTAATAGGTTCATACAGTTAAAAACATGCAAACAACCCTAGTCAAACTGTTTACCCCATAGCAAAACTCTACCCATATAATAATTGAAGTCAGCTCTCTAAAATTGTATGAATACTTCCTCTCAGCCAATTTCTATTCTGCCAGTTTATACTTAAGCAAAAATCTACATTCCTTGACTTTTATCCTATGCTACTTAACATAATCCAATCCAATCCATTCTGTTCTTTTAGCCCAAAAGTCTTTTAAATAATTGAGGATAAGTAGTATGTCTCTCATTAGCCTTTTCAGTCCAGAGCTAAAATGGGATGTAGAAACTAAAGAAATCTGGCCATCCCTAATCACATGGTATCTAGACCAATCTCCATGTTGATCACTCTCTTTCTGGAATATGTACAATATACTTCCATATAGAGAAGTGACTATTGCCTTCCTTATCCAAGACCCTGTTTTTAAAAGATCACATTCTGTGTAAATTAGTCCAACTACTATGGAAAGCTGTATGGAGTTTCCTTGAAACACTAAAAATGGATCCACCATACGACCCAGCAATTTCATTCCTGGGAAATCTACCCAAAGGATACAAAAACACTGATTCAAAAGGAAATGGCACTCCTATGTTTACTGCATTATTTACAAAAGACAATACATGGAAACCTAAATTCCCTAAAACAAATGACTGATCAAGAAGATGTGGTATATATACACAATAGAATACTGCCCAGCAATCAAAAACAATAAATTCATACCATTTGTGGCAACATGGATGGAGGTGGAG